TTTTGAGTGAGAGTGACTAAGACAATCAATGGGGGGCCCCTGGAGGTCAAGGCCCCTGGGCACTTGCCCTGCGTCCCTGGTCGGTAATTCGGCCATGATTACTACAAATTTAGATCGCTGGCTAGACTAATTTACCAATCTAAAAAATGTTTTACTCACATGGGATAATTGAGTGACTGTCAGTGAGTGACATGTACAGTAACAAGATGAAAACTACTGATGCACAACCAAGTTTCAAAATTGCACCTTGTGTATTCTACTATTCTAACTCTCAACAGGAAGTTGAGACCCCAACTGAGTTGCAAAAAAAATGATGTTATATAGGCCTATATATACAGTACCAGTCAAGAGTTTGGTCACACCTACTCATTCAAGGGTTTTTCTTTATTTTTACTATTTTCTACATTGTAGAATAATAGTGAAGACATCAAAACTATGAAATAACACATATGGAATCATGTAGTAACCAATAAAGTGTTAAACAAATCAAAATATATTTTAGATTTTAGATTCTTCAAAGTAGCCACCCTTTGCCTTGATGACAGCTTTGCACACTCTTGTCATTCTCTCAACCAGCTTCACCTGGAATGCTTGAAGGAGTTCCCACATATGCTGAGCACTTGTTGGCTGCTTTTCCTTCACTCTGCGGTCCAACTCATCCCAAACCATCTCAATTGGGTTGAGGTCGGGTGATTGTGGAGGCCAGGTCATCTGATGCACCACTCCATCACTCTCTTTCTTAGTCAAATAGCCATTACAAGCTGGTTGAGAGAATGCCAAGAGTGTGCAAAGCTGTCATCAAGGCAAAGGGTGGCTATTTGAAGAATCTCAAATATAAAATATATTTTTATTTGTTTAACACTTTTTTGGTTACTACATGATTCCATATGTGTTATTTCATAGTTTTGATGTCTTCACTATTATTCCACAATGTAGAAAATAGTAAAAATAAAGAAAAACCCTGGAATGAGTAGGTGTGTCCAAACTTTTGACTGGTACTGTACTTATATATATATATATATATATATATATTTTTTATTCAAATACTTTTTTCAAATGTATATGTAGCTCATATGTAGCTGTGGTCCTGCATGTACTCTGTGTTTAATAGCCACATCATCAGTGACAATTTGCTTCTTGAATGTCCAATATCTTGAAAACTTGACTGCTCCGATATGCAAACTGTATCACCAGTGGACTAATGAAAAAAATACCAAAATATCGTTTTTTTTTTAGATTTGTCTTTTAATAGGCACTTACTATAGTCCTTTTTTAAATGCAACCTCTTAAAATGAGGAAACATGTTTTTTTATTAAGTTGAACATGTGCTCTTTATGACAGAATGTTAAAATTAGGTGAAATAATGTTGTTGTTATTTTTACCAAGTTACACTACTCAAAAGGCACCTAATGTCCGACTGTAAAAACGGGCTGTTCACCCCCAAGCCATAAGACTCCTGAACAGCCAATCATGGCTACCCGGACAAATTTGCATTGCTCATATACTTCTGCGACTCTGTTCTTTATTCTTACTCTTATTATTATCTATCCTGATGCCAGTCACTTTACACTGCATTTATGTAGGCTACATATCTACCTCAAATATCTCGTACCCCTGCACATTGAACTGGTACTGGTACTCCATGTATATAGCTTCATTCTTGTGTATTTTATTCCTCTTGTGTAAATATTTAAATGTTATATTATTTGTTTTTAAACTCTGCATCGTTGGGAAAGGCACATAAGCAAGCATTTCACATACAAATCTACACACGTTGTATTCGGGGCATGTGACAAATACAATGGCATTTTATTTTATTTGATAAAATGATAATGCTCATAATTTCGTATGAACAACGAATATTTTCATAATAGTCAATAATGTACTTATTTATTTTGATTATTCAAGCCTATGTTTGGCCCATGTAGGCCTATAGATCCCTGAATTATCTTCTCTGAGTGACTTTTAGAAAAAAGCCAACAAAAGATCAAAGGCCTGAGTAGAAATTTCTCCTGATGACGAAATCAAGACCTACGTGAAAATGTGAGTGTTTCTAAATTTCTGAGAGGGTATCAAATGAAGACATCACATTCATCCGCGCGGATATGGGCGCAATGATGGAGTATGGAAAGGGCACGCGCGTGGGTGAGAGGGGAACCCTGAAAAGATCCAACACCGCCCGTGTAATCAAATCTCACGCGTGAATAAATTAGAAAATAAAACTGTCATAAAACACTTCCAAACCCACCAAATAAAGTGACTTGTGTAATAAAGTAATTATTCTCAACGATTCATTGTAAACTTTGATTGCAGACACCCTTGTCAATCAATCTCTACCATGGCCAACATTCTAAATCTTAAAGTGTGATAGGGCCTACACGCTTCAGCAGGATTGTCACGTGCAGAAAATATCTTTGATCGACAGAACTCTGTGGGAGAAAGCAATCAGCCTCTGAAATGTCACGCGCTTGAGTCCAGTAAATTGCCCGAGGGCGTCAAGGATTGGACATGAAACAACTGACTGTTGGTGGCTGAAAATATGTAATCCGTTCATACTATTGGACAATTCACTCATACAAAGTGCAATATACAGTACATTGCACGAATAAAAATGTCACTGCTTGTTTTTATCATGCATGGTTAATAGGCTATAGTCTACTGTATTGGCTGTTGCGTTTAATCACAGTAAAAAAAAAAGAATGGTGATAGGTGGAGGTACATGACGTCTAGGCTATACATACAGTAGGCAAATATTTATCTTTTAATTAATGCATTTCCGATGGAAGGCAGTGTATTATTGGAATGCAGCCAATGCATCAATGCCATCCACCACATAGGCCCTGCGCTCAATGTGTATCATTTTCTTTCCAAATATGCTTTCAACAACAATGTGAAGTTTTTATTGCATTTTTGGAATATGTTGCAGTGTTAACCATGATTTTCCAGCTAAACCGATTGTTTTAATGTGTTATTATTATGCTAATGAGTGTATACCATAAAGCTGACGCTTTTATCCAAAGCGATTTATCATGCTTGAAGGCTATGTATGTGTGGCCCCAGGAATCAAACTCACCACAACCCTGGCGTTGCAAGCACCATGGCCTACCAAATAGGACTATTGAATTCCTATTATTAGCAATAAGGCTATATTTCAGAATTCACAAATTGGACAAATTATTTAACAAATAGTCTAGGCCTATATTATTATCATCATTATTAATAATGCTAGAACATTTAGGTCATTTAGCAGCATGCATTTTTTTTTTTCATACTGGCCCCCGTGGGAATCGAACCCACAACCCTGGCGTTGCAAACGCCATGTTCTACCAACTGAGCTACATCCCTGCTGGCCATTCCCTCCCCTAAACTGGGCCAATTGTGCGCCGCCCCATAGGTCTCCCGGTAGGCTACGACAGAGCCTGGATTCGAAGCAGGATCTCTAGTGGCACAGCCTTAGACCACTGCGCCACTCGGTAGTAGTAGTAGTAGTAGTAGTAGTAGTAGTAGTAGTAGTAGTAGTAGTAGTAGTAGTAGTAGTAGTAGTAGTAGTAGTAGTAGTAGTAGTAGTAGTAGTAGTAGTAGTAGTAGTAGTAGTAGTAGTAGTAGTAGTAGTAGTAGTAGTAGTAGTAGTAGTAGTAGTAGTAGACCTATAACCTATTCACATAGACCTATAACCTAGCAACCTATAATTACAGGCCTATAACAAACTGCTCAGGCGCACTCTTTCACTGGCCTGCACAGGTCTGTAGAGCCCTGTATAACAGATAGGCTACTATTCACAACTCTCTGGAATACAGAGAAATACAAGCTTAAATAAAGCTTGGCTTCGATCATTGATCTTGCTTAGTAGGCATGTAGCCAACATACATATATAGGCTAGACTTACAATTATTTCATTAAGCCTACATAGCCTAGTATAAATGTGAAATCATACTGGATGGTGAACCTGACACTATATTTCTAAATAGTATAGGCCTACTCCAAATACTTTACCTCTGAGATAGATTTTTACATCATGGCAGCAAGGCAGTGAGGTGGTGAAATATCCCCGCGCGCTATGGAGGCTGACCATTTGCGCCTGAGTTATAGCGCAGAGGATTTGGCACGGCTAAAGGGGATGATGATGTCTCTCTGCCCGGAAGTATTATCAGCCTGATATACTGCCTGCACAATAGCCTTTATAAAACATAGGGCATATCTACACTCACTTGCACGCACGAACGCAAAGGCAGGCTGCATACGTTTACGCACAGCCATAGCCAGTGCACATGTCGACTTCCTATATCGAAAATTAGGCAACAAGTAAAAAAGAAAAAACAATTCGATAACATAAATTACATATCATAACTGCAAGCAAATTATCCTGCATTTTAGAAAAGTTCATTCAATCTAAACCATATTGAACGTAGGCCTATATTTTTTTCATGCGTCCATTATGTGGTAGCCAAATACATTTTCTACCGAAAGATATTATTTAAAAAATAAAATATGTACTTGAATTGCTGATTTAAACGAAAGTCTGAGAGCATTAAGTATTCCAATTCGACTCCTCCCTCCGGCCATGCCCTCTAATTACCGCTGCTACGCTCGCGCTAAATCCTGCACGGGACTGCATGTACTCAAAGAGTGACAGAGGGAGAGAAAGTGAGGGGGTAAACGATTGAGGGCGAGAGACAGAAAGAGGTAGTGTGTGCATATGTGTCAGTGTCCATAATTGATGACCTTCCAATCTACAATAAGTTGTTAGTGGTGGTCAATTGCGGCTGCTTTTTTGGGCTTCACTGTCCAACGGATGGTTTCATGTTGTGGCTCATGTGTCACCCAGTGGAAAGGAGAAGTGGGACTTTAACTGGACTCAAAGTCTCCCTACCCTGCGGCAAAGCGACCAACATGCGGTTGCAGAAGCACCTGTGATCGGATATCCCACAACTTTTAATTTAGACATCATTATTTTGAAATATAACCAGAGCATAAACAATTCTCCGACCTGATAAGCTACTATGACCTCCAAAGAGCCCACGGTTATGGAGGACCGGAGACGCAGTGCGCTGGACCAGCTCCCGCCGCCGGCCAACTCCAGCAAGCCCCTGACGCCGTTCAGTATAGAGGACATCCTGAACAAGCCCTCGGTGAAGAGAAGTTACTCCAGCTGCGGGACGGCGCACCTGCTCTCCTCCAGCGAGAAGCTGTCCTCTTCGAGTCACAATCTGTGCAGCCGGGCCCTTTTCACCCAAACCTCCCCACTCTGCGCTCTGGAGGAGCTCGCCAGCAAAACCTTCAAAGGTCTCGAAGTCAGTGTTCTTCAAGCGGCAGAGGGTAAGTCTGGACAGTCACATCTTTGTTTATCCTATGTAGTTATTATGTACAGACTGTGTAGCCTAGGGTGATTCAGCTTATGGTCTACAAATGCAACTAACGAAATAGATATCAATGTTAGGTCTCTACGCGTGTGCTTGCAGTGGGTCTGTGCACACACATATTTCTTTCAGAATTTGAGTATTTAATTAAAGCACGACGCATGTTTTTGCATAACGATTTGAAAACATATATGTGTATCGAATTGGTTATTTTTATGTGAACAAAATATATTAAAGCTGAATAGTTCCACCATGTAAACACGAATAATAAGCGTATGCGAAATACTACTCCACATAATAATTATAACTAATGTAATATTTAGTTTAAGATTGTTATTATTAGACCTATTGTATCACATTATCTGTTATTCGCCCAGCGTTTCCCATACTCGGTCCTCGGGACACCAAGGGGTGCACGTTTTGGTTTTTGCCCTAAATTCAAATGATCAAACCTTGATTATTCGTTGATTATTTGAATCAGCTTTCAAGTGCCAGGGCAAAAAACAAAACGCGCACCCCTTGGGGTTCGAGGACCGAGTTTGGGAAACCCTGTATTAGCCTATATGTAGCCTACCCTATTGGTAATATTGTTGCTGTTGCTGTTATTGTTATTGTTGGTGGTGGTGGTTTTAGATGAGAAATACATACATAGGCCTGTTATTAGTCTAGCAGTTATTTCTGTAAGGTTTCTTGGATCAACATTATGCCTGGTGATTCACTAAATGCCTATAGGCTAATATCCTTATCCTCTAAATATCATTTCACAGGCCGAGACGGCACGACACTATTCGGTTCGCGGAATAACCCCAAAAAGCGCCGGAAGTCTCGCACGGCCTTCACCAACCACCAGATCTACGAGTTGGAGAAGCGCTTCCTGTACCAGAAGTACCTGAGTCCAGCTGACCGCGACCAGATAGCACAGCAGCTCGGCCTCACCAATGCACAGGTAATCACCTGGTTCCAAAACCGGCGGGCCAAGCTCAAACGCGACCTGGAGGAGATGAAGGCGGACGTGGAGTCGGCCAAATCCGTGGGCACAGTGTCTTTCGAGAAGATGGCCAAACTAGCCGAGCTGGAGAAATGCGCAGCTAACGGCGCGCTGGGCCCTAACAGAACCGAGTCACCCTCGCTATCGAACCATGAGCATGACACATCGAACAAACTATTATTGTCCTCACCTTCATCGCCATATACAGACCATACTAGCAGCAAGGGTTGCTCCGACGATGAGGAGATTGACGTGGATGACTAAGGATTTTACCTTTTATATCTCCCTCTTACCACGACGAAAGTTTGAAGTGCCATTAATGCACCACATGTATTCATGAGGCTTTTATGAAGAACACTCAGCATTGCATGGACTGTGTCATATGCAACGACAGATGCAGACACACACACACACACACACACACACACACACACACAGTCTTACCATTACGGGCTAACAACACTAGCTAATAACTCAACTTATGAATTATTTCAATGCATGTTTTATTTTGTTTAACTTCATTTTATTTTAAACGACTGTAATGGTTTGAATATTATAGGGGCATTCATATTGAAATACACACAACGTACTGTATGTTAGGCTGTGTGTGAGTGTTGTAACTATACCATAGGTCTACACATTTCAAACGTTTGATAATGGTGGGAATACATTTTCTAAAATAATAATCAAAGATAAATAATATTTCATCTGGTTGCTTGTAATATCAGTCACAATTTAATATATTTATAATGGTTTGTATACCTGTAAGTGCCTTTCAATGCCAGAACACCATTTAAAACCTAATGTAGGCCTATAAAATGTAATGTATTCCAAAATAAAATATTTCGTTTCTCAATATTCCTTTTAGTAGCATTTATTGAAGCACAGGCCTAAATAGTATGAAATGCTTTTGGGACCATTGTTAGTTTAATTCCAGCTCTTATTGCAATCAGCATTCTATATTATAATAACATATTTTTGTTGTTTCCAAATATTTTTTCACATTTCGGTCTAATATTAAATTAACATGCACCTCGAGCCAAAGTATCGTTTCTCTTTCACATTGAAATTATATTGAACACATTGAAAACCTGCTTTCTGACCCGGCAAAGTGTGTTTTCAGTTCCTCAATAGAATTGATGTGAGAAACGCCAATCTGGAGCATAGAGAGGCCATAAAGGAGGCACAAAAACGTCGAGTTCTGGGCCAGCTTCTCCAGGCTTTTTTTGTGAGTTTTTCACTCACTCTCTGCGTAGAAGCGTGAAACTGGCGGACAAATGAGCTTTGCTCCCCGGTGTGACAGCGACAATGGGGCCAGGGCGAACTCCAGCCGCGCCCAATACGGAGACAAGCGTGTCCCATTCCCCAGAAAAGGACACAAACGTTTGGAGGCCATATGGTTTCTGAATTTTCCTCACAATTCCAGTCAATTTGATGGATTGATTAAACACTCCTTTTTTGCTACAAAGGCTGTAATGCATACATAGTCCTTCTGAGGGCATCTGGGCTCATCATAGCTATCATTGTCGACCATTTTTTACTCGCGCGTTTTAAACAAGGCTATGCATCACAATTGAAGTCTCATTCTGGAGAGGGGTTTGGTCTGTGCTTTGTGTTTGTGTGAGGGGCTAGAAATAATATGTTTGGCTTTTTGGGCGATAGATCTTTCAGCAGTTCATCTTGTGGCCTGGGTGTTTTTCATGCTAAGTAGGGAAGGTTCATGTTTAAACCGTGACATTCGTGCGATTGGTAGAGGGCTTTGTTTTCGTTTTGTGTTCTTCTGTTAGCTACCTACGTTTTGTAGCTACCTACGTTTTGTCTTTGTCTATGACATTTTTTTATGAAGTTGAGAGCCTAGTAATGTGACCTCAAGACGTTAATAATAATAATAATAATAATAATATGCCATTTAGCAGACGCTTTTATCCAAAGCGACTTACAGTCATGTGTGCATACATTAATAATTTATTATGGAGTTAGATTTAATATATATATATTTATATATATATACAAAACGCACTTGGCCTAATATAAAACTCGCCTTTGAAGTTGAGGATCGAGGATAATTATTCAACCAATTTTATTACAAACTACTATCTAGGATTCCTACTAGAACTGTATTGTTTTCAGTTAGGCCTAGTTTAATGAAAACATAATTGTATTCAATCCATATAATCATTATTAGGCTATTAGGCTGTCACAATAATAATAATAATACTTATCATGCATTTTTTTATTTTTTTATTCATAATAATAATAATAATAATAATAATAATAATAATATATATTATTATTATTATTATTAGTAGTAGTAGTAGTAGTAGTAGTAGTAGTAGTAGTAGTAGTAATAGTAGAAGTAGTAGTCAAATTATCGAAGGACGTATTAGTATTTAAATTAGTATTTTCTTTGTTAATATTAGCCTACAATTTGTTTATTGTTATCATCATTAGTTTATTATTAGTTTATTGCTACCGTTTACATTGTTGTTAGTAACCTAGTGTATTATTAGGCCTATTGACAACACTGGCAGAATAGGCTCGAGGCTGCGTTATAGGCCTATGACTCGGGTACAGAGGGTAAGCCAACTTTAGCCCACACCTAAGGCTGAATTAAACTTCTAAAGCCCTGCGTTTATGTCACGTAAATACCTGATTATTTTATTAAATAATACAAAATCAAATCATTATCAATAGATTTAAAAAACAAAATCGAATTAAAGGGATACTTCGGGATTTTGGCAATGAGGCCATTTATCTACTTCCCCAGAGTCAGATGAACTTGTGGATACCATGTTTATGTCTTTGCCTGCAGTTTGAAGGAAGTTGCAAACTAGCGCTAGAGCACAATGACTGGAAGTCTATGGGTATGGGCATGCTAGCAGATACCCATAGACTTCCAGTCATTGCGCTAACGCTAGTTAGCATTGGCTTGCGAAACTACCGATAACTTCCTTCATACTGGACACAGAGATATACAAATGGTATCCATGAGTTCATCTGACTCTGGGAAGTAGATAAAGGGCCTCATAGCCAAAATCCCGAAATATCCCTTTAACAATTAAATGCCTTAATTAGCCTATGGATGCATGTGTGGACAATGTTGATTTTCTTATGGTTATCAATATTGTACGCTGCTCTATTAATTTCACAGATCAACATTTCATTTTTGATTGGTTGTGGTGGGTATAATTTAGGTTGATGATTTATTTTTGCACTTATTTGTCGGCGTTTGTCGGAAATGAATTTAGAGGCCATATCCTAGAACAGAGAAGCTTCATGTGTTTTTAGTGTACTTTAGATATCTTGCTTCCACATGGTTTCTTATGTGGATGTCTTTAATGCAGGGCCAAATAGTGACCAGTACAAAGTGTGCTATTCCAGTGGGGCACGTGCTGGTCTCAGTTCCTTATTTTAAGTGTTGTCCAACGGCAAAGATAAGTACAATTCCCAATACCTCACTATGGTAATTAATCCACAAGTTTTAAGTGTATTTCAGCTCAGGAAAAATAAGACAATCACTAGTTCATTCGGTTGGAAAATTGAAGTTTGATGCATGAATCCCTGCTAAAACAATAGGGTCTGCACCCTTCTCCCCCCCCACTTCCTCCCCTCCCCTCCTCCCCTCTCTTTCTCTCTCTCTCGGTCCTAATCACTTGTTTTGATAATTGGTTATTTGATTTGAAATTATCTTTGAAAGTTATCCACAGTTATTCAGGGCTAACAAATCCATTTTTCTTTATTTTTGGTTGTTGTTGCGTGTCCTCTTTTTAAATTCAAGTAGGCCCTATCATGCCGGCATATGTCACTTTCGCTGATAGCATAGGCTAGTCTTTTCATTTAGTCTTTTCATTTTTCCTTTATTTATTCAGGTTGGTTATTGAGAACCAATTTCCTTTACATTAGACCTAATACAATAGTTTGAAGAATTGGAATGGATGATGGAAATAATCAAACATTTTGCCTTTCAATAAGTTCTGGAAAAAAAATCATTTCGGTTGAAATAGCTTTTCATCAGTGTAGGATCAAGTGGTCAACATCATAAAGAAAGGAAGAAGAACAACTTGATCGATTCTTGGCTCGACCACGTCACCCTAGTAGGATTTGAGGTGAGAAATAATATAGATTAAGATGGGGGGAGCTTGATTAATCACTAAATAGGGTACATTTTAAAGTTTTAGTTATTAAGTTCCTGTACAGCCCCTTAACACTTCGAACTTCAATTTTACAGGCTATTGAACTAAGCATGTCCCTGACAAAATTTACTTTTACCGGAGATTAATTACTATCCACTGAGAGAATTATACCAGCCTTTTCCCCATGAATTTGCATATTAATCAAAATCTGGTTGATAATTCAAACGGCAAATGGATTTAGAGGCATTGGAGAGGCATAACTCGCAAAAATCTCTCTCCCGGATCTCTCTCTCTCCCTCCGGCTCGGCTCACTCTCCCTTGCGCGCTGCTAAGCCGCTTGTCAAGTGTATTATAATCTGAGATGCAGAACGAACTCGCGTGGCTATTTGGTGAAGACAGAAATTGCCTGTCTACTTTTATGATGTGTTCATGCTGGGCAGGCAGATCTTAATGTGTGCTGTCAGATTGCCCAGGATTTAGAGGGAAAGAGACTGACTGTGTGTGTGTGTGTGTGTGTGTGTGTGTGTGTGTGTGTGTGTGTGTGTGTGTGTGTGTGTGTGTGTGTGTGTGTGTCTGTGTGGGTATGTATGTGTGTGTGTGATTATGGAGACCATTTGTTACCACTAACTTATGTATCCTCTATAGCTATAGAAATAACTAAAAATAACTAGCTATTGGTCAAACTTCCATTTTCAACTTTGGAATGTGCAGAAGGAAAGAACAGTCTATGTTTATTGTCTATATCTAGTGTGCAAGTATGGGGGTAAAAAATTAAAGATTACAAAGGCACCAACAAAAGATAGATATATAGGCTACAGAAAAATGGCCAATATAGCCTATATCCAGAGCAGCAAACTGAGTTGAAAGGGAAAATAGCAGGCCACATAAGGCTACATCAGTTATCAAACTTCCTCAACAATAGACAAATCAACAGTATCCCTACTCCCAGCTTGCTTTCATTGTCCACACTGAACATATTTAGGTGAAAGCACTCTTATCTTATGGACATAATCTAGCACTTCATGATTAAACCTTCTCAAAACAATATTAATTACACCTTTTCAGATTGATCTATTCATTTTAGTAGAAGTCTATAGACAAACCAAATTCACTGACTATGTCTCTGCCCCA